ATAATCACAATCACTATTATAAAATTGGACATTTGATTCTTAATATAAAACCTATTTAACTACTTTAATTAGATTAAAAAATTAAGTTAATTAATTAATTAAAAAATATGATATTTGTTTATGAATTTTATAACTTCTTCAACGATATTTGTCGGGGAATTTTATAACTTGTTGAACGGTGTCAATTATGTAAAATGGACCTTAATATATGACCTATAATTCTAATTATATATAAGACTTTATTTGTAAACTACAAATGAGATCTTATAATTAGGACTGAAGGTAGTATTGGATATCGGTCCCCTTGAGTTAACTAGTCTAGGCTCTCTAAAATTTTCCCGAGGGAGTAAAATAAAATAGTTCAGATGTTACAATTTGAAGAGTAATTATCAAAATATTATATTTAAAATCGAGAATTAAGATTTTAATTTCTTTCATCTCACTTCCCTTCCTGATACTCAGTCATTCCCCAGTCCCCACCTTTTTCAAATTATACTCATTCTTTCTTTTTTATATTTTTTCTTTTTTCCTTTTTTATTTTTTTTTCGGTTTTTTTCTGCAAAATAAAAGAAGATATGGATATTTAATATAAATAATAATCCTCTGATTCTTAATATATGATCTAATTTTTAAGTTAATTTTGGTCCTAAATATATGACTTATTTATCATATTTATCAATTTTTTTAAATTACCGCTATAGATACTCTCTCAACCATAATCAAGTAAGCGAGAAAGGGAGGATATTAAGAAACATGATTATAGTATTTTAAGAAAAGTATGTCATATTTCTTATAATTAACTAACTTACTTAAGTTCCTTAATCTAATCAAATTAATTAAATAGGTTTTATATTAAGGATCAAAAGTGTATTTCTTATCTCATAATTAATCAGTTCATGTTAATTAAATAACCTTAATTGTAAATAAATATCTAATGAAAAAAATAAGCAGTATAAATCAGAATCACATTATAACCTCATTCAGTTATTTGGAACTTACGATGGGAGTAGTACAGGCTCTCGCCTCCTATAATTTTATTATCAGATTTTCTTATGTTGTTTTGTTTTTGTCTCTTCATTTTATATTATATTGTTATTAGGTTGCTATTTTATATCATTTTACCATTTTTTTATTGTAAAATATTTTTTTATGTTAATTTATTTATACGTTTATCGTTCTCCATTTAGTGGTTTACGGATAGTAACTCATTATTTTTGTTGTTTTTATAAATGATAAATATATATAATTTATGCTGTTTATTTTTTTTATTGAGTTTGTTTATATTTAATTAATTTATTTCGTTACAATTCTTTTGTCTTGGTTTAAATTGTTGTATAAGTATATATAAAATATGTATATTTATTTAAATTTACTTTGCTGCAATATTTATGTATTTATTTATATTGCTCTAATTCCCCTTCTATATATATGTAGACACACTCATCTCCCTATATACTGTGATTCTGTGAATTGTAACATATTATTTTTGATATCATATGTGTTTATTGATTATTTTTCATGCCTTATGATTTCTGTTTATACAAGTTTAATTTATGATTTTGAACTAGGAAATAGAAAAATTTAAAATTATATGGGTCTGACGGAGGTTTTTTATGCGAAAAGTATAAATCCATCCACATATAGTACTTGGATCCTTATTATAATTGCTTTCCAGAACATGTTCTTCATCCTTTTTATAATGTTTTTTTTTTGCCAGAGTTTTTATAAAGTATCTGAAGTTTTAAGAAGTATTAAATAAATATGGTTATGATGCGGCATGGTCGGGGCTCACGAGATATTGGAAATTTCAAATTCTATATTCTGTGAAGATTCGAGGAAAAATGGGTTGAATTATATTATTAGGAAAGCGTGGTTTAAATGTCGTGGGAAAAACTAAAATAAATATCTGTTAGAAATTTAATTGGAAAATATTTCTTAAATTGATGAAATGCATAAAAGAAGATAAGTTACATAAAAAGAATATGTTTGTATAAAATATTATTTGGATATAAAGGACTAATTTGTACATAGAAAAGATAACCTGTATATATATGTGGGAAGTAAAATCTTTTGATCAAACATAAAAAAATAAAAAAATAAAATTGCATACCAGTTGCAGGTTTTCATATGCTTGTTTAATAATACATTAATTTAGTAGTAGTTGTGGTTTTCAAAAATACTGTTTCAAATTTTAAGAATAAAACATCTCTAGGCAGACCAAGACGGGATCAAATTTCAAGATACAAAATCACTAGTTTTAAATTTCAAGAACTAAAACTAAAATGGAATCAAACTTTAAGAATTAAAAATAATATTAATTTTTGAATAATTAATATCTTCTATGTTTATTATTATGTGTTGCGTTGGCCATAAACTATACTTCATTCTTAGGTTGTCGTTATACAACAGATCATTTATTAAAAACTCGCACGAACCATTAGTTCTTCTGGATAGTCAACGATCTCTCTTGTTTCTAGGATCAAAGAAGCAAGGATAGTATGCCAAGGGATTGATGATGATATGCACCATCCAACTTCGAACTATGGATTGATATATTGTTTTCTTCATGTAAAGGATAAATATAATAATTATAATGTTTGATGTGCAATTTTATCATATATACACAATGCTCAATATATATATATATATATATATATAAATGCATTGCAAATCATGTAATATAAATGCATAACAAAAACACTTCATATTGAAAATTAAATTATGAATGATGTATACTACACAATATGGTCTAATTAATTAAAATTATGCCTTTAATGTATGTCATAATATGCTTATGGCCTAAATTAATATTTTTCATTATAATACTTGACAAAGGATGTCATAATATGCTTATGGCCTAAATTAATTTTTTTTTATCATAATACTTGACAAAAGACCAATTAAAGGCATAATTTTAATTAATTAGACCATATTATGCAGTATACATCATTCATAATTTAATTCTCAACATGAAATGTTTTGATTATGCAGACAATTAAAAGTTATTGCATATTTTAGCTAAAAAAAATTAAAGGGTTATATAGAAAGTTTCAACGGGATCCACCAGCAAAAGTCCCATCTTGGTCCACTATATACTCTAGATCCATCCAAGGTAGCCCATAGTTCCTAAGCCCAACACTAACATCTTTCGGCCCAATTGTTTCTCCCTACTCCTCATTTTGACATTAATGCAAGGCCCATTCGTTACTTCCTCCGGCTTTGCGCCCACCACCAAGGGTATGTTTGGATTGGCGTTGGATAAAACTGACTTCTAACCCAACTGACTTTTGTAACTGAAGTTAGAGTAAAAGTCAGTTAGTGTAATGTAATTTATATTTGGATAGATGCTTTTAAAAAGTCAGTTGAAAAAGTCAAAAGTTGTTTGGATGATTAATAGAAAAGTTAGTTTAGTTATAAAATGACTTAAAAGGACATGGAGTAGTGTTTGAAATTTTATATTTTTAATGTGATAATAATTTAAAGAAACACGTAAAATTATTATGATAAAATATAAATAGTTTATTTGTAAAATTATAAAATAAAAATATTTGTTACGGAGAAAAATTTGAAAATATATTGTAGATAATTAATTAAATATACATAATGAACAAACATGAATATACATTAAAATTTATTTGGTCTCTAATTAAAGTAAATAGAATCACATAACTAATTAGATCGTAAGCTTTGCACAATTTTTCCATAAGTCAGTTAGAAAAGTTGATTCAGATTGCGTTGGATAAGGGCCCGTTTGGGATCACGTTTGGGGGCCCAAACGTGCGTCCCAAACGGACTTGTGGGGTGGCTGACATTTTTGAGTGTTTGGATGCCCGATTGCCCAATCTGACTTTTGTGGTTTAAATGGGCTTCTGAGAGAAGCTCATATTTTGAGCTTTTTTTTCGGACGTGCAGCTGGGGTGAGGAAACCGTTGGAGTGTGTTTAATTGTTTTACCTAACTGACCCTCTCTGCATGTATTTTCTCTGACCTCACTCAGCTCAAAGACAAAAAAAAAGACGCACACACGCACTCAGCCACAACACGCTCTGAAGCTTAAAAAAAACTCCTCCCGACGTCTGCTGCCAACTCGCCGTGCGCCCGCCGTCTCCCGCCGTCTCCCGCCGTGCGTCCGCCGTCTCCCGCCGTCTCAACAGTTCGGGTTCAAGTGTGGTCGGTCGTTCAGTTCTTCCAGCGTCTCATCAGTTCTTTCCTCTGTTCGTTGAGTTGTTCCAGCGTCGCCGTCTCCCGCCGTGTCCCGCCGTCTCGTCAGTTGCGGTTGTTGTGTGGGAGTGGCTAGACCTTGGTCGTTCATTCAGATCCGTCAAATACCGTCGCCGTTGATCTTCTTCCCCTGTTCGGTTGCAAGCGTCGCCGTCCGTTTGAGGTGCCGCCGGATCGCATCTGCTCCAGATCCACACTGCTCAGAGTCTCCTTTGTACGCCTGGTAAGAGATACGCAATTTTGGTCCCAGATCTGGTTGTCTTCGATTGTTCTTGGCTCTTCGATTGTTCTTGGCTGCCGGCGGATGCATGGCTGTTATAGGAGTGTTCTTGGCTCTTCGATTGTTATAGGAGTCCTTAATATGATATTGTTGCTATTAATCTGATGCTCTTTCGATCAGTGTGGCCTGGCTGTCGAACTTGGTAGTAGTGTAGTAGGAAGAACTGACTTGAACGTATGGATTAATGTGGTTTTTTGGCTGTGTTTTATCTGTGTTTCCTGTTAATTATTTGTGACAATGTCAGACTCGTAGGCGCATTTTAGTTTGAAAATTTGAAGATCTGTGTTTCTATTTATTTGTAGTTCTATGTTTCTATTTTATGATTTGTGGTTCTGGCAAACTGACTACCCCTTTGCTGTTAATTATTTGCCACAAGCTCCGAAAAGTATACGTTTTTTAGTTGCTCGGTGTTTGTAAAAAGTGGCGTATATATTCATCAATAATGGTTATTGTTGATAAGTATGTTTTACAAACCTAAATATATATGATTGTGATATTATAATTTATACATATTATATATATATTAGATATTTCCTGTCATATTTATTTACAAAATAAACATAATATTTCTGCATTGTTGGAAGAAAAGTGTTCTGGTTCACTGTAACTCCCTTTTGCATTCTTGATTGACATTTTTTAATAGAACTATGAACAAAGAAAAAAGTAAGGCAACATGGGATACAAGCACTACAGAGGTGTTACTTAAAGAATGCATGGAGCAAATCTACCGGAAAAATCGTCAAGGAACATCATTTTCAAAGACTGGGTGGAACAACATTCACTCTGCATTCAATGCAAAAACAGGAAAATCTTATGAGAAGAAGCAATTGAAAAATAGGCTCGATAGCTTGAGGAAGGATTGGAGGACATGGGTTGATTTAAACAAAGAGACTGGTGTAGGTTGGGACCCTGTAAACAATACAGTGGTGGCAACAAATGAGTGGTGGGAGAAGAAAAAACTGGTATATAATTGTTGATCTTGAGTTATAAACTGTGTTATTACTTGTTATAGGCTTTTTATTTTTGTTGATTGTATTCTTGCAGGAGAATCCCCAATATGAAAAGTTTAGGTACCAGGGGTTAAAGTTTGCTTATGAATTAAACACGATATTCAAGGGTGTGATAGCATCTGGAGAGGATATGTTGGCACCGTCTTTAACCCAACCTCAGACACAAGAGGATGATGAAGAGAATGTGTATAGAGTTAATACAGATCTCCTTGAAGGATCGGGGGATAGCGAAGAAGATCTTGGAGGTGCTAGTGTAGGAGTTACGGATGAGATGGCAGGCGTAAACTTAACAGCAAATACTGCACCTAGTGGTTCAGGAAGCCATGGGAAGAGGAAGAGAGGTGAAGGGTCTAGCAGGCAAACAAAGCAAAAACTTCCGGCCTCAAGACAAATAGCGGATTCAGTTAGTGAAATAGCTACTGCATCTAAGGATAGAGCTGCAACTCTTAAGAAAATAAAAGAGGTATCAATTTCTGAGGTTACGGCCGAAGTGCTCTGCCTTGAGGAAATTACAAGTGACTCTGATTTCCGGAACCGGTGCTTAAGACTTCTGTTGCACAAGAGTGTTCGGGAAATGGTTGTTTCACTAAAAGGACAGCCGGAATACTTGGTTGCATGGCTACAGGATATGGCATACAATCCACCATCATGGCTGAAACCCCCGCCTGCTTGAACTATATTTTAGGACGCATGTTATGATTTTATTTTGTCTAACTCGGACCAGAGTTGTTATTATATGTTTTTAAGTTAATGTTTGTGGAACTATGAAATTATGTAACTTGTTAACTGACTATGAATGTTTTTAAGTTACATGTGTTATTTATAATGGTAATTGCAGCTTATGAATGTTTTTAGACTAATTTTTATGTCTTTGCATGTTTAACAGAAAGAAATATTTATTTGCACATACCTAAAAATATTTATTTGTCGTTTAAAAAAATTCTTACAGTTGAATTTAACCACACTCACAGGTGACATTATCTATGGCAAATTGGAACAATCAATTTACGTTTGAGTGGATGGAGGAAGATGAACAGTCTGAAGAGGAGTCGGAGGAAGATGAACAGTCTCAATTGATTTCCCTTCTAGATGAAGAGATAACACAATATGAAGAGGTAGCTGTATTGGTGAGTCAATATGTGATGCCTTATGTGTGCAAAGAGCCACGAAGAACTAGTCAGCAAACAGGTAATTTATGGGTGCAAGAAATTTTGCGAGATCATGAAATTCGGTGTTATGACATGTTTCGAATGGAAAAAGAAATGTTCATGCGATTATGCTCTAAACTGGTCGAACATGGTTTAAAAAATTCTAAGTATCTGGGAGTGGAAGAAATTGTTGGTATGTTTTTGAACACGGTAGGTCATGGACAATGTAATAGGATGATTCAAGAAAGGTTTCAACATTCAGGAGAAACTGTAAGCAGGCATTTTCATAGAGTATTACAGGCTTGCCTTAGTCTTTCCAGGGAATACATCAAACCACTCGATCCTACGTTTTCTGTAACTCACCCAAAAATAAAAAACGATAAACGATATTCGCCATATTTCAATGATGCAATTGGAGCAATTGATGGCACTCATGTACGATGTGTGGTGAGTCTTTCGAAGCAAGACAAATATATCGGGAGAAAGGGATATCCGACACAGAATGTCATGGCTGTATGTGATTGGGACATGTGCTTCACTTTTGTGTTAGCGGGATGGGAAGGTACTGCACATGATGCTCGTGTGTTTAACACTGCTGTCTCAACTCCAGCCTTGGATTTCCCTCATCCACCTCCAGGTATATTTTCAGTAGCTTCAGTTTTAATTATGTCAAATTCATTTGATATTTTCATTAATTTCACAATGTCAACATAATTTCATGATTTATTAGGGAAGTATTATTTGGTCGATGCTGGCTATCCAACTCCACCAGGATATCTTGGTCCGTACAGATGTGAGCGCTATCACCTTCCAGACTTCAGGCGACAACCGGGATTTGAAAATTATAACGAAGTCTTCAATTACTACCATTCAAGTTTGAGGTGCACTATAGAAAGGACTTTCGGGGTGTGGAAGAATAAGTTTCGCATCTTAGAGAAGATGCCAAGTTACAAGTATAAAACTCAAGTCCAAGTAGTTTGTGCTACAATGGCTATACATAATTTCCTCCGAAGAAATTCTGAAACTGATAAAGATTTCATAGAAGCTCAATCTGAAGGTACAATTGACGAAGACAATCATGATGAAGCTGGTGAGACATCCTCTTCAAATTTACCTAGATCAAGACAAATGAATCATGTGCGTGACACAATCAGAGACCAAATTGTATTGAGCATGGCATCCAATTAGTTATTTGATGTATTTAGTTTAAAAATGCTACGTATGTATGACCTCTAATTTACATATTTATCCATTACATATATTTAATTAAGTTTTTTATTATTTTTCAATTTCCTTCTAGTAATAACTTAATTTTTTTTATTTTTAATAAAAAAATTTTCAATACTTCTTTTAAAATAGTCACATTATATATATAATTTCTTTATAACAATAAATTAAATTTCCTTATTTTTAATAATTTTATTTTCATTACTTTATTTATGACAAATAGTCACATTATATATATAATTTCTTTATAATACTAAATTAAATTTTTTTACTTTTAATAATTTTTATTTTCCTTACTTCTTCACTTTTAATAATTAAATATCTAATATTAGATATGTGCTATTTAATAGAATTCATGTCCTTTTAAGTCATTTTACATTCAAACTTACTTTTACATTTATCATCCAAACAAGTTTCAGCTTCTCAAACTGACTTTTTTCTAAAACCCAATCCAAACATAAATCACATTACCCAATCTGACTTTTACTCAATCTGACTTTTGGAAAAGTCAGATTGAAAAAAAAGTTACTTCTCCACCGCCAATCCAAACACACCCTAAGTAAGTTAGAAAAGTTACTTTTTTTCATAAGTCAGTTAGAAACGAAGCTCAATCCAAACAATCTTCTGAGCTGCAATAAACCATAAACCTCAGTTTCACGCTTTTCCGTGTGCTTTTGGCATTCCAATCGGTAATCTAAACGAGCCCCAAATCATTCGGTCGATCTGTTCGCCTCTTAAACCTTTACCACCACTGCCACAACCACCATGTCATCATACACCCTAGATCCATCCCCTATTTCCTAAGCCCAATACTAGCATCTTTCGACCCAATAGTTGTTTCTTCAAGGCCCATTACTTACACCCTCCAGCCACCACCAAATCTTCTGCCGGTCGGTCCGGATTGTTATTTTTTTATGAACTCCCGGGCACCATTAATGGAGGAAAGCAGAGAAGAAACAAAGCGCAAACCACCTTACACTGGGAGGTGGGGCTAATCGCAGGATATCTATGGACTAGATACTCAATCATTATTTAACGACCTATTCTAATAAGTGAGACGCACACAAAATATCCAGAATTGCCTTTTTCATGCATTTCACGTACAACTACGAAAGGCAAATTATTTTAGGATATGAAAATGAAATGAGCAATATAAAGAATTGGAATGAAACGAAAGAGAAACTTCGAATACTTACGTGAGTGAAGTAGCCATGACTTCGAGTTCAATGGTGGTGACCAACACACTGAACTGATTGTTCCTCCCTTCAAAGAGAGAAGACGATAGAGGAAAAGAAGAAATAGATGTTTGCATCTGCCTTCGTTCATGCTTAATTTACAATGACATATACGAGTCCAATTGACTTTCGAAGCCCCCGTTGATAATAATATTCCTCCGATCTTTAATATAAGACTCATTTAACTAATTTGATTAAATTAAAAAAAATCAGATAAGTTAGTTAATTATAAGAAATCTGACACATTTTTCCTAAAATACCATAATCATCTTTCTTAATACTCCATCTTCCTCTTCTACTTGATTATGTTTGAGGGAGTATTCATAGAGATAATTTAGATAAAATTAATAAATATGAAAAATAGGTCTTATATTTAGGACCAAAACCAATTTAATAATTGGGTCATATATTAAGGACCGGAAGAGTATTATTTTTTATTAGACATAGAAAATGACACGAAAACTTGCGTGGTTTCACAGGACATATTATGGGAAGGTAAGACCCCAGTTAGCTCATCGACGCCTTTCTAACTGTTTCACCTACTCGTTGTTCGCCGCAAGACCCCCTTTCCGCCATTGAAGAGAACCAGCTTTTGCAAGTCCAGCGAAATGTGCTGCCGGGGTGGAGGTGGATTTTATTGGCTGCGTGGGACCCACCTGCCACGTTTAAGTCAAAACCTTTTTGCGTATTTTAGGCAAAGCATCCTCTCCATTTTCCTCTGCTAAAATCAAAAGTATATCACTTCCCATCTCTCCACCAATCAGCTTCTTGTATTCTCCCAATTGGACAATTTAAATTTAATGATTTACAAAATTTAAAAAATGAATTATATTTTTGACAAAAAAACCTTTTGATAACCATTTTTTTGGCCAGAATTTTGATAACCAATTTAAATATTTGCTAATTTAGGAATTTTAATTATAAATAAATGTTCAGGTTTAAAATGAAAATCTTATTTTATAAATGATATTTATTTCTATAATTCTTTAAATTGATATTTTCAGCTCTTTTTTTAAAATTTTTTGTCAGAATCTAATTGTAATTAAATTAAAAAAAATACGTAGAGACAAATTAGTTGGGACAACACTATTTTCTATTGGCCTCAACCAACAGGGAAAAATATAAAGGAGGTAGGCCCAGACTCCCCGTTGGGCAAAACGTTGGCCGACAATTCCACAGTACTGACGAAATGCGTCATCAAGCCGGTTTCAAAGACATCAATGATACTGCAACGCCCCGGGGGGGATGATGAATGATACAATTCCACGTGATTTTTCTAAACTTTTCTCCACTTTTTCCCCAGTGCTTGACTCGTGTAAGCCGCAGAATCTTCATATTTAAGGTTAATTTTTTGACAGCCATATTTAAGGTTGTTTAATAATTAATGTCTTCCGCGTTTTAATATGGCAAAATTAACAGAGCGTTATTTCTCGGTAGGAAATACACATATTAACCCATATGGATGAGAATTATTTCCAGGTAACATTTATACAGGTCGTCCATACATAACCACAATCACTATTGTAAAATACTAAACATTTGATTCTTAATATAAAACCTATTTAACTAATTTAATTAGATTCAAAAATTAAGTTAGTTAATTAATTATGAAAATTTTGATATTTGTTTATGAATTTTATAACTTCTTCAACGATATTTGTCAAGGAATTTTATAACTTGTTGAACGGTGTCAATTATGTAAAATTAACCTTAATATATGACCTACAATTCTAATTATAAAATCTTATTTGTAGACTATAAATAAGATCTTATAATTATGACCGAAAGTGGTATTAGATATCGGTCCCCTTGAGTTAACTAGTCTAGGCTCTCTACAATTTTCCCGAGGGAGTAAAATAAAATAGTTCAGATGTTACAATTTGAAAAGTAATTATCAAAATATTATATTTAAAATCGAGAATTAAGATTTTAATTTCTGTCATCTCACTTCCCGTCCTGATACTCAGTCATTCTCCAGTCCCCGCCCTTTTCAAATTATACTCATTCTTTCTTTTTTATATTATTTCTTTTTTCTTCTTTCCTTTTTTATTTTCTTTTCGGTT